GTGCTTGCCTTGCATGCATGAGGCCCTGGGTTCGATTCCTCAGCACCACATAAGCAGAAAAAGCTGGAAGTGGCGCTGTGGCTCAAGTGGTAGAGTACTATCCTTGAGCTGAAGAGCTGAGGGACAGCACCCAGGCCCAGAGTTCAGGCCCCATGACCGGCAAAAAATAATAATAATAATAATTTATTGGTTCATTCTTGCTTAATCATCCTTTTGCTTTTCTTTTGAGCTCTTCAACATAATTTAATACGTTCTTAAATAGTATTAACTATAACTATAAATAATAATTGTTTAAGCTGGCTGCTGGTGGTTCAGGCCTGTAATCCTAGCTACACAGGAGGCTGAGCTCTGAGGATCGCTATTCAAAGCCAGACCAGGCAGAAAAGCCAATTATCTCTAGTCATAGAAAAAGCTGGAAGTGTCCTGTGACTCAAGTGGTAGCACTAGCCTTGAGCACAAAAGCTCAGCGACAGCACCCAGGTCCTGAGCCCAAGCTCCAGGACTAGCACCAAAAATAATAATAACAGTAATAATAATTAATTATTTGAAAGTTGTCAGTGTGCTGTTCTGTGGTTTGGGTTTTTTTGTAATTTGCTTTTTGGTTGTCTAGGGGTTTGTTCTTGATAAGCAGGTACTCTACCCCTTGAGCCATGACACTAACTTATTATAATTACTTCCACTATTACTACTATTAATAATTGTATTTTTGCCAGTTCTGAGGTTTGAACTGTGGGCCTCACCCTTCTCTTGGGTTTTTCACTTGCTGCTTGTGCTCTATCATTGGGGCCATTCCTCTGCTTCCAGCCTTTTGTGCTCAGTTAGAGATAGTATTAAGAGATAGTCAGTTAGAGATAGGATTACAGGTGTACACCAGTGCCCAATGCTTTATTATTTTTGAATAGGGTCTCATTTTTTGTTGACCTGGACCATGATACTCCTATTAAGGCTTCCCATGGAGCTGGGAATGACAGGCGTTCACTACCCTGTATTGGTTGAGATGGGAATCTTGTAAATTTCCTCCCTGGGCTGGCCTTGAACCACAGTCTTCCTGATCTTCACCTCCTGAACTTTAGGGTTACGGGCATGAGTCACCATGCCTGATCTGGTTTTGCTTTGTTGTTGTTGCTGCTGTTGTTGTTGTTTGCAGTATTACGGATTGAAGTCAAAGCCTGGTGCTGACAAGCATTCTACCACTCGAGCTAGACCCCCATTGCTTTTATTTTTCAAAACAGTATCATGGTTTTGCCCAGACCAATCTTGGAATAAGAATCCTCCTGCCTCTGCCCCTGTGTAGCTGCGACCACAAGTGTATACTCCTGCCTCCAGCTTGCTGTGGGGACAGGTCTTGCTAGGCTTTGCATAGACTGGCCTCAAGCCATGGTCCCCTATCTCCACCTCCTAAATGGTTGGGATCATATAGATGCTCCCACTTTTCCTGCCTTGTCGAAGTTCTTTACTTAGAGAAAAGGATCCACAATCCCCAGAAGGTATCAGCAGGAGCGCCCATAGCCAATGCCTCATTTATTCATACTTTCAGGTCGATGTCTGTACTTGATGGCAATACCTAAGGTTAAAAGCAATTTTTTGTTTCTTCCTCTACTTGATTTTCTTCCATTCAAGAAAACATATGTGGTGCATTGCATCTGTGCGTGGAGACAGGGAACTGAAACGCACCGAACACTGTTGAATGAGAGGTCTTGAGTGTGGGAACGCGCACGGGAGTGGGCAATCTGATGAAACACCTCTTATGTGCGTGGGGAAAACCCTTTGAGCAAAACGTGTGAGTGACAGGAATGGAAAACAGGTCCCATGGTGGGAAGAGGGAGGGTGGACAGGGAGAGCGAGTGTGGTCGCAACACTTCATGAACAGGTGTGAAAATGGAACAGTGAAAGGCGTTGGGGAGGGACACAGCAGAGAGTGATGGAGGGGATGACTCTGATCAATCAAGCTACTTATCAGGTTGTACTTACCAGGTACAACTTGTTATTGCTAGTAAAAACGTAAAAAAGCTAGGACCTGTAGCTCACACCTGTAATCCTTGCTACTTGGGAGGCTGAGATTTGAGGATTACTGTTCAAAGCCAGCCTGGGCAGGAGAGTTCATGAGACTTTAATCCCCACCTAATCACCAAAAAGCTAAAAGCAGAGGTGTGATTCAAGTGTTGGTAGAGCGCTAGCCTTCAGCAAAAAAGATGAAGGATAACACACATACACACAAAGAAGAAAAGAAAATGTGTGTGAATGCACATGAGAGTGATGTTGAATCCTCTTCAGTGTGCCAAACAAAAGCAAAGACAACATAAAGCATTTGAGGCCCTCACTTTAAGTATTCACAAGGAGATACCAGCCATGTTGGCATGTGGCTGACAGCTGCTGTCCCATGGCGTATCTGACAGATTCCTTGAGAAGCTGCGGACACTCCCTCCCCACGCAACACACCCCTCCTCCCCTCCCTCCCCACGCAACACCACCCCCATCCTACTCTACCCCCCCCTTCCTCTTAAACAACGAACCTGATTTTCAGGACACCATGGACAGAGTGCTCTGGGAGAGGACTCATTTGTCAGCAACTCATTTGTCAGCCTCCACAGGTTGGGACAATTTGATGGTCTTTTTGAGCTTATGAGCATTTACAAGTTTTAGGTGCAAAGTCATGAGACAAGAATCTCTTCCCTTGTTTTTACCCGAAGCCCCTATCAGTGTGTAATGTGTAAAAATAATGCACACATACATGCATGTGAATGAATACCTTTGTCATGTATGAGTCTGAGTGTCATCAGATCCTACAAACAGCTGAGGAAACATACCAAACTTTTGGCATATATTCAAAAACAGTTGTAGCAACCAAAAGGGTTCCCATGCGTCACCAGATGTTCCCTGAGGGAAAGAATCATCCCAGTGAGAACCAGGGAACCAGAAAACTGCAAATCAGTGAGGAAGAAAAATATAATAGAAAGAAATAATAAAGACAGGAAGTCCTTGAAACACCTTCTACATTTGTCCTCTTGACAATGCATTACCAGTTACAGAGAGTAGCTATAAAATGGAGCTAGAGTCGTCCACTCTGAAATCTACTGGTGCCTCTTCCTTTGATCTTAGACAAGTGACTTGGGTGTTCTGTGACTTTTTTGCCACGTTCACATTTGTGTCCATGTGGAAATCAACTTGGTACAGCACAGTCTGTTTTTGCTTTTGCGGTTAGGAAGAAGAAGCACGACACTTGGTTGTTGAACACTCTCATATCTGCTTCATGTGGTATTACACAGTTACGTAAGTCATGCACCATGAAGTACAAGGTGATGTGACAGTACCTAGCTTTTAATTATTCTCAAATGCAGCCTCCGTATTATGGTTTTCACACAAATTTTCATTCACCAGCCAAGATATTCTCAAAGTAATATTGATCAACAAATAATTCAAACATTATACAAATTTATACTACCTGTTCATACTTTACATAAATGTCCTCAATTCTTGGAATAACTACATGAGTGCAAATTATTTATTTAATAGATAATAGAAGTATAAGTTTGGGTGAGTTAAATAATTAGCACAAAAATTCAATGTTTAGCTAGGTGCCAGAGGCTCACACCTGTCATCCTAGCTACTCAGGAAGGTGAGATCTGAGGATCAAGGTTCAAAGCCAGCCTAAGCAGGAAAGTCTGTGAAACTTTTATTACCAATTAACTATCAAACATCCAAAAGCAGAGCTGTGGTTCAGGTGGCAGAGTGCTAGCCTTGAGCATAAAAGCGTGAGCACCAGCACCCAGCTTTAAATATCATTATAATATAGGCTCTCTCCTCTGCCCTCTTCTTGCTCTGCTTTTCAATCCACCTTAACTCAAGAACACCAAGGACACTGAGGAACATTCATCAGAGCTGCTAAATCAGCTTTTTTTTTCAATATCATCATTTTAATCTCAGCAGAGACTAACTGCTGCTCTACAAGGTGACAGTATCAACGCCACGGCTTCTTTTACCATCTGCACATGTCTTCTGCTTTCAGATTTGCCTTCCCTGATGACTGGGAACTCACTGGTACACCTCTTTTCTTCTTTTTTGTATATCTGATACGTGATACAGAAAAAAGCAGATCTTATTAGCCCTGAAGTCAGGGACGTTTATGTTTGTGTGTGTGTGTGCACACGTGTGCATGTGTGCCAGTACTAGAACTTGAACTCAGGGGCAGTGCTGTCCTTTAGCTTTTTCTGCTCAAGACTAGAGCATTAATCACTTGAGCCTCAGATCCACTTCTAGTTTTGCTGGTTAATTGGAGCTTAGGGTCTCATAGACTTTTCTACCTAGGCTAGCTTTGAACCATAATCATCAGATCTCAGCCTCCTAAGTAGCCAGGATTACAGGTGTGAGCCGCCAGTGAGGTTGCTTTGATCACCCTCAGACGTCACCCACTTAGCTGTCAAAATCTTTAGCCCCTTCCTTTGTCATCGACTGAACACACAAGAAATGCGGTGTTCATGGTAGAGCCTCAGAAACTCACTGCATCTTGTTTGCTGATTATCTACATACCAGCATTTTGTTTTAAGCAGAATAATATCTAAGCACTGTTTAGTAACCTACAAGTGGAAGATACAATCCTGAGGTGATATGACAAAAGCATATACAGATAGCCAGGAAGTGAGGGGGGAAAAACCTCACTTTCTAAAAGGCAGACAACTGGACTTACAATTAGAATCGTTCCTTTCAGGGCTGGTGAATGGATGTAAATCACACCTGTAAACACTGGGCTCTTGGGATGTGAAATGAAGACATCAGTTTGAAGGGGAGTCTCTGGGCCGTGGTGGTGCGTGCTTGCAGCCTGGTAGGAAAGCCTGCTAGCACGCAGTTGTTCCCACTGCTGTGGCTGCCGAGGAGAGCGGTCAGTGCACTGGTAAAAAACAAATAGTAATTCCCCAGTTTCTGCCTTTGTTCTTGTCTCTTACACTTAGCCTCTAATTATGTATAAGTAATGGAATATGAAGAGAATAGAGTCACAGGCCTCAAGCTGTTAGCTAAAAAGTATCTTTCCTCATTTTTTTCTCAACAGAAATGATATGGAGAATTTAACCCAGGTAAATTGCGTTTTCAGTTTTGTATATCCTTTATTTTAAAAAAAATCACTATTGGGGCTGGGAAGGTGGCTCAGTGGTAGAGCGCTTGCCTTGCATGCCTGAGGCCCTGGGTTCGATTCCTCAGCACCACATAAGCAAAAAGAAAAAAGCCGAAGTGGCGCTGTGGCTCAAGTGGTAGAGCGCTAGCCTTGAGCTCTAGAGCTGAGGGACAGCGCCCAGGCCCAGAGTTCAGGCCCCACGACTGGACCCAAAAAAAAAAAAATCACTACTGTATTTTTCTCTTGTGTTTTTCATGTTTTCTAGATGAATATTTTCCCAAAGTAAATTTTGCCATAAAATCTATTTGTGTGTGTGGTGGTGATCCTGGGACTTGAACTCAGGGCCCAGGTGCTGGCCCTGAGCTTTTTTGCTCAAGGCTAGCACTACACCACTTTGAGCCACAGTTCCACTTGGATCTTTTTTGTTTAATTGAAGATGAGAGTCTCTTGGACTTTCCTGCCTAGGCTGGCTTCAAACCATGATCCTCAGATCTCTGTCTCCTGAGTAACTAGGATTACAGGCATGAGCCACCTCAGCTTCATAAAAATCTTCTTAGAGCTGTAGGTCTCCACAGACCTCTTCAGGGAACCCATGCGCTCTACCACAAGCACACCTGAGGATGAGTTGTGGGTTTTTTCCCATGAAAACAAAGCACACAAACAACAGGGCAGAGATGGTGATCTGGCTGTCTTCCTTTGCTACAGATATGAAGGAAATTTAAGAAATATATTTATATATATTAACAGCCACTTTTCTTACCTCACTAGGTCTTTAGATTGTTTCAGTCTTAAAAAAACATATGAAGGCCAGGCACTGGTGATTCACGTCTGAAATCCTAGCTACTCAGGAGGCTGAGATCTGAGCATTGTGGTTCAAAACCAGCCCAGGCAGAAAAGTCCGCAGGAAACCAGAAGTGGCACTGTAACTCAAGTGGTACAGCTCTTGCCTGAAGAGCTCAGGAACAGTGCCCAGGCCCAGAATTCAAGCCCCACGACTGACCAAAAAAAAAAGAGAAAAACCAAAAAAATACATATGATTGTTTGTGATGTTTTTAAATGGAACAAATGGAGCAAAATCATAAAAAAATGAAACCATTCTGTGGTTGTGTGGCCATAAAGGAAAAGTGTGATATGTCGAATGTGAAGATGCACACATGTATTTTCTTGCAGATTGTTACAATCTGGGTGTATGATCCTGAAAACGCAAACAATGAAGAGATAATGTGGAAATCAACCATCCCATCAGCAGTAAGTGGAAGCAGCTTTGCTGGTCAGATAAGATACTTGCTTTCTTCGAGAAGGGCTGTGAGTAATTTATAAGCATATGATAGGATTTAACTGTCCAGAGCTACCTTAAAACATTTTTGTTACCCAGCTCTTTAGCCATTACAGAAAAGTTGAATTTGTGCTTCTTCACTAAAATTAGAAACTTTCCTGGTGTACTCTTTTTTTTTTTTTTTGGTCGTGGGACTTGAACTCTGGGCCTGGGCGCTGTCCCTCAGCTCTTCAGCTTAAGGCTAGCACTCTACCACTTGAGCCACAGCGCTACTTCCAGTTTTCTGAGTCATTTATTAGAGATAAGAGTTTAATGGACTTTCCAGCCCAGGCTGGCTTTGAACCACAATCCTCAGATCTCAGCCTCCTGAGTACTTAGGATTACAGGCATGAACCACTGGCACCCGGCTTCTGGAGTATTCTTACTGAGCATTTTTCTTATTTTCTATAAGCTTCATGATAGGTAAAGAAACTAACCATTTTCTGTGAGCTTCATAATAGGTGAAGAAACTAGCCATGAACATGCTGACATTGAAACCCTCCCTCAAAAATCTTTAGGATTTCCTGAATTGTCAACACAATGAAAATAGAAGTCCTTTCTTTTTTTTTTTTTTTTTTTGGGTCCGGTTGTGGGGCTTGAACTCTGGGCCTGGGCGCTGTCCCTCAGCTCTTCAGCTCAAGGCTAGCGCTCTACCACTTGAGCCAC